ATATAGATATAGATATAGATATAGATATAGATATAGATATAGATATAGACATAGATATAGATATTTGCATGCATAGAGTTGGCTTTGCTTCCAGTGCTGCGGACACTCTCTGACTGAATGTTTTTTACTAACTTCTGCATATCTACGTAGACATAAGATATATATATATATATATATATATATATTAGCAGCATATGATGTATATATTGAGTTATAGAGAGCATCATAATATACAAGATATCTAAATATTTTTAAATGATGCTCTCTATATGCCGGAGATGCATATTTAATACACTACAAAACTTTCTATTAAATATAATAATAAATAAATATCTAAATAATAATATATTATTTTCTATCACTACTTTTATATCCACCATACTGCCGCACTGCAAACTGCAACACCTTTTTAAAAAATTATTTAAATAATTATTCACAAAATAAGCTGCCTGTACACCTGAAATAAAGGTTTACAGACGCCAATTCTTTTTGCTGCTGCTGCTGTTCTGTGGTGTACGCACAGCAGCAGCAGCAGCAGCAACATATCATCATGCGTACACCACAGCAGCTGCAGCAGCAAACATATTTGCTTCTTTTAATAGGGCTGTTATTTAATTAAACAACTGCATCTGCCGCCTGTTGTCTTCTGCTGCATGCAAGGTGACCAATATACCCACATATATGCCTACACAATATATATATATATATATATATATATATATATACATGCATGTGAGCACCGTATATACAGATATAGATACATATATATATATATTTTATTTATTTATAAATATATATATATATATACATATATGCATATTCAAGGCGATTAGAAGTATATATATATATATATATATATGCATATTCAAGGCGATTAGAATATATATATAATATATAAAATATATATATTATACATATATATATAGGAGAGTAAGTTAGGCATTAGTTTGTTATGTTGTTATCTGTGTGTTTATTTTTATTTGTGTACTATTGCGATTTATCTCCACGTGACTTCGACTTCATCGGTTCGATATCTTTGTCTATAGAAGCTGTTGATAGGAGAAATAAAAGAATTGGATTTAAACATCAGCGACCCGACATAAGCAATCATTGCCCCGTTGTCTATACAATATCTCTCATCCATACCCCCCATACCACACCCTCGACGCTCAGCCATTTGCTGCAGCATCCACTGAAGCCGCAGATTGCACCCAACTCCCCCTACAACCTGCACAACAGCAATAGCAGCAGCAGCACCAGCAAAAGCAGATGTAGCAGCAGCAACAATGTGCAAGGCAGCATATGATGATGCAGCAGAAGACCGAAGAACTGCAATTCCGAAGCTGCTACGAGAGAGAGAAGAGGCGGCTGTGTTCTTAATATAATATATATATATATATATATATATATATTTACTTATATATATTAGCTGTCGCTTCTGGCGCAGTGAGTTTTGGGGAAAGGATAATATTTAAGGCGCTTTCTTCTTCTTTTTAAATATTTTCTACGGTTATGTATGTTTATTTACTTCGATGCTCAGGTGTATAGACAGCTCAGCTCGCAACACTCACCAGAACATCTGTGCTGTTGCACAGGGCCATCGCTCTTTCAGTTATTTCTACGAGCATTCCAAAGAGATATTCCTGGAGGGAGTAGCAAATAAACTCTGGTGTTAAAGCCAGCATTATATCCGCAGAAGAAGAGGCAATAAGAGCATCACTTTCTCTCTCTCCCTCTGTCTCTAAAGTAGCAGCAGCAGCAGCAGCAGCCGGAGCAGCAGCAGCAGCAGCAGCAGTTGGTGTTTGTTTGAATTGGTTGAGTATATTCCTGCTGCTTCCGCCGCTTCTTTTGGTGCGGAGTCTCTTAGCGATTTCTCCATTTATTAATTCTTCTTTCTCTTCGTTTGTATCTAAATGCATCTCCTCATCTATGTTTTGTTTATGTTTGTTTTTTTTTCTGTTTTGTTGCTGAGAATACATGAGGTGTACAGCCTCTTCTGTCTTCGTCAGTACTCCACTGAAAGCGACATCCATACCCTTTACGTTGTAGCTAAGAGGAAGAAGAGGAATACAATTGTTTGTATGCAGCTGTTTTTGTTTATGTTTATACTGCTGCTCAAACTTCGCAGCCATCTGCTCTACTTGAAAGCCCGGTGCAGGGGCATTAGGCAGTCGAAGAAGACGTGCAACACGATCTATACAGTTGCCGATTGCCATATCTAAAGTCTCTCCTAATATTCTATAGCGGCCTCCACTGAAGCCTATAACTTGAGTATTACCTCCAGACACATACAGCACAGTAGGGTCTATACACCCCGTCACCAGCCTCCCCATTTCTATGTGCGCAATGCAATGATTAACAGCCACCAATGGCTTCCCCCATAGCAAAGATAAAGTACGAGCTGCAAGGGCACCCACAGCTAAAGGGGCCCCCATACCCGGTCCTGCGGTGTATGCTATGCAGCTTATCGTACGAGGGGTTACGTTGGCGTCCTTCAGTGCTTTTCGAATTAAATGCGTTATCTTCGCTTGATGGTGTGCTGCTGTCTCCCGTGGAAGAAAACCCGTACCTGGAGGAGTAATGAAGGTCTCCCGAGGGTTCGATAAGACTGTGCCCAAGCCATTAACAACACCAACACCAACTTTATTCGCACTGCTCTCTATACCCAACACTATCAAATTCTCACCCTCCAATGCGGATCCTTCTCCCGCTGCTGTTGCTGATGCTGTTGCCGCTGCTGCTGATGTTGCTGCCCCTTCTGTTGTTGCTGCTCTTGCTGATTCCGCTCCGGCTGGTGCTGCTGCACCTGATGCTGCTGGTGCTGCTGGTACTGCTGTTGCTGATGCTGCTGATGCTGCGGGCCCTTCGGCGGGAATCCCAGCCGAGGTTGGTGAAGGAGAATCTGTGCAGTCCATTGTTAGCAGCAGTTAACTCCACCTTCCCTCCTTCCTCCTTCCTTGGGCGAAGTAGGCGTAGGCAGGCACAGAACTCGATTCAAAAGAAACTCATGAAAGTAGTTGCTGAAGATACACTGGAGATACACCTGGCTACAAAAGAAGAAGCAAAATAGACACAGAAGCCTCTAATTGACGATAACGCCGCATTTCAAGAGCTGCCCGGCGGTGGAGGTTCTTGAAACCGATAAGTCTGCTCCAGGGTTTCTTGTCAGAGAGAGAGGTACGTACACCCCAGAAAAACGAATTCCACGCAGTACAATACACAAGTAATAAGGCCAAACAGAATAAAACAGATTAGTTCCTTGATCTATTAGCAGAAGGGGGCCCTTCAAGGCTACTTGTTCATGAAAGGGAATTCGTCTGCCGCTCTTATTCGGCTCATGCTTCGGGCTGCTGTTACTGCTGTTGCCGTTGTTGCTCCAGAGACAGCTATAATATTCAATAAGGTTCGACAGTTTTTCATTCCCAGTGCTGCCCAAATACTCTAAATAGAAAACGAAAAAATATATATACAAAGGTTTGTGTTCTCGCCGCCGTGATTACGCAGACGACCATCCCATGTAGTCTAGGTGGTTAGGATACTCGGCTTTCACCCGAGCGACCCGGGTTCGAGTCCCGGCGTGGGAAGTTTTTGTCGTTGTTGTATATCCTCATTTAGTAGACACATGCATCTTTAGAAACAGAACATGCAATTGTTTTCTATTGCAATTGGGGTATATGCTGAGGACGAGACCCTTAACGTGCACGCTTCTGCTAATGTACAAGTGAGGCCATTCGGCTTGTTTCTAACAGAGAGCATATAATGCTCTTTAATAAAGAATCCTTTGTATTTTTGTTTACAGTACAAAATACGTGCACACGAGGAGACCACAAAGCTGTTCATGCTACTAAAATACAACTTAGTCGGCTCATTAAGGAAGACACCCATAACTTTGCATCGGCAGTCATCCCATATAGTCTAGGTGGTTAGGATACTCGGCTTTCACCCGAGCGACCCGGGTTCGAGTCCCGGTGTGGGAACGTTTTGATCTGCATGTATTTACTTGCACATCAATATTAATGCATTGTACACCCCTGTATGCACTCATTGGAGTAGGCGGCCTCTGATGGTGTAGTAGTAGTGTGGTTCGGATGATTCGGTTGTGTCAGCTTCCTTATATTGCTATTATTATAATATAGACTCTCTGTGCTCGCATAATAAAAGGGGAGGCCAGTATGATGCAGCGGCAATGCTACAGGAGCAGCAACATGTAGCCGCTGCTCCTGTAGCATTACCGTTGGATGTGGCAGCCAACTATCTGCTGTTGAAAGGTGTCCTGCTTTCAGTAGACATTGTAGATGATGACGGCTGCATGCAGTAGCCTCACTAAAGAGGGAGAAGGAACGGCTGAGGGAAAAAGCTGAACAGGGCAGAGTTCCCTTCTATCGTTAGTTTGGTTTGTGCGCCTGGTTTGTGCGGCTGCAAAACTCATCTTCCCTGCTTTCTTCTGCTGTTTTTTTCATCGGCTATAATTGCATTAAGGCCTCTATCAACAGTATATCTCCGTGAGCAGAAGCCCAATGAAACACAATTTAGTGAAATGCTGTCGACCTGTTTTCTGAAATATCTGAATGAACAGCAGTTTGCATCTAACACTGGTGTTCAGAGTAGCCAAGGACAGCGCAGGATCCCACGGGAAGCTTAAATAAAAGGATGAAACAGAAATATATGGGGTTTTATTCTGCTGAGACAAACAGAGAAAGTGCAGCCTGCTTCATAAAAGAATGTTGACTATGCACGCCATCCAACGTCCTGACGTAGCTGCACATACACCGCAAGGCTGTTCCAGGGCACTCAAGTTCAGCACAGCTTTCACCTTTGAGAACAGAATAGGCACCTGGGATGTCAGCGATGAACCATATTATCTTAATATTCCTTCTCTTCTCTCCCACTATTCGTGCGCTGGAGTTTTCTCTCGTTTCAGAGGCCTCCAGGCTTGGCCCTCTGGGTAAGGCTGCGCGTCACCATTTCCTGTGCAACCCAATACATATGCTTCACGCTTAGGCCGCCATGGGATTGCCGCTGCAGTGGCAGGTGACGTACCTTATCTGTTCGGTGGCTGCACGATAGAGGGTTAGTAAAGCGCGTCAGCTGCTTATCCGGTTCCTGGATGTTGTACAAACTTTCTTTTTGCCTAGCCACGCGGCAATGCCAGTGTCTTCAAGATGATTAATTGAAATATATGTGCTTAGATGTCTGTTCGGATGAGCTGTACGCGTTCCACACGTCAACGAGTTCCTGGGAGTTTCTGCACGTCCGAGGTGATGCACCTTCTGCGCGGGGTGGTGCCTCTCTAAATGCAGTTCGTGGCTCGCTGGTGCTCTTTGGGGGTGAATCAAGCGACGGGACATACAATGACATTTACAAATTCGGTAGGAGATACTCTGAAATGCAGCTGCCATTGATCTGCTTTCAGCTGTTTATTGTGTAGACACAACGTGGCGCAGATGGTACATCGGTGTGGGGCCCGAGAACTTTCGCCCGGGTAATGGATTCCTGCGATGCCGGTTTGTTCAACCATGTTTGAATTAACGGACTGCAGAGCCTCGCAGCGGCCATGCTGCAGCTTCTGACGGAGAGAAAATTTATATTTTTGGAGGATATAATGAGGTGAGTGCTGTGCAATTGATTTCTTTTTCAAGTCGTATTCCCACCCATTCTTCCGCTTAGGCTGGGCGCTTTCTGAACGATTTATGGGTTATTGACTTGGACTCGGTGACTCATTTTCTTCCTTATCAAAAATGCCTCTTTCCTTCAGTTCCGCAAATCGCAGGAACTGGAGAATTTGAGTGCCGAGCAGTTTCCCGTTCGTTTTCATGCGTTAGTCCGAAGTAAGAAGTTGGGATGCAAAGGGACAGCCTGCTGCTTGCTACAGTTTTAGCCAGATCTGGATGATAATCTGTCTTTAGGCTCGGGAGAGATGCCATCCCCCAGAGAAGGCGCAACGCTGACGTATCTCAACGGACATTTGTTTCTCTTGGGTGGCTACAGTGCAGACGGTGGGGCGATCTTCCTCTTAGCAGCACTGCTGATGTTTTGGAGTTCTCACTGTGTCTTGCTCAACTGCAGGCCTCCATTCCAGTGACTTGTGAGGCGTGAATGGTAAAGACGTGCTGCAAGGCAGATAACCCACAAAGTGCAGATGGGTGTACAGCTTGGGGGACGACAAGTGGCTTCGGGCTCCTGTCAGAGGCGTGCAGCCTCCGGCCAGGGAAGGTGCGCCATTTAAACTGTCGAGGCAATTTGTGCAATTTGTGGTGTTTCAAGTGAAACGCTCACAGGACACAGCGCCCTCAGAAATGGAAGCGACGTGAGCTCGCTGCGCTGCCGTGACCAGTGGTCCACTCCCGTCTCATCTCATTGAATCCGCCCAGATCGTTGTAGCAGGGGGATGCGACTCACGCCGGACCGTCCAGAGGTGTTACAAGTAAGCAGGCAACTATGCGCTGGCGTGCATGCACGTATGCATGCATACACTCACACAACACAACGCAAACGCAACACAACACAACCCGACGTGAAACTTTTTTCTTGTGTTTTCCGCTGCAGCGACGTGTGGAAACTCGACGCCCAGACGTACACCTGGACGCTCTTGTCCGCTGGCGACCCCAAATTTGCACCTCGCGAGCGCCACGGTGCAGTTATTTTAAAAGGTAGGAGAACAAATTGCTGTTATTCAGCATGCAGCAGAGCAGCTCCATTGCTCATGAGGACTCAGGTGGAAAGGTATTGCTGTTGTGCGGCAGGAAGCTGAATGCCCTGGACTACTCCAGCGTCGTTTCATTCAAAGTTTCAGTACGTCCTGCTACAGTAGCAGCAGAAGCGATAGAGCTTGACACTTTTGCATTTTTTTCCCTTATCTTCTCTACTCGTCACAGCCCTGCGGTGGGGGAGGAATCTGTTCGGGCAGAGGCGCGTGTGCTACTGGCTCTTGCGTTTGCCGTCCTGGCTGGGCTTCCCACGATTGTGGGGAGGTCAGCTGCCGCTTTAATGGGATTGATTAAGGCAAACGCGAAGGCTATGGCTGTGTGTTCAGGTGTTTGAGTGCCCAATGAAGTGCAACTTTTCCGGTGTCTGCATCGACGGATCTTGCAAATGCTTTCCTCGCTTTCACGGAAACTCGTGTTACCGCGTCAGTTTATTTAATTGCCCATCAGCTGTTGCGTCGTTGGCACGATGGGATGTCAATGCAGGTGCTCTGTCCTGGGTCGGGCATCAACGGCATGTGCAACGGCCAGGGTGACTGTCTGCCTTCTGGAGCGTGTGCGTGCAAGTAAGTGCAGGTCTTGTGTTGGCTATGCATGCTTCTGTTTCTCCGCTCATCTGTTGTCTCTAGGCCTGGCTACAAGGGTATGTTGTAAACCCCCAGAAGCAAACTACAAGGTAGACAACACCACGCGGCAGGCCTGGGCTGCGAGGTCGACATATGGGGAGCAGAAGAAAGAGAAAGGAGGGCGAAAGGCGTCAAACGGCAGTCACCTGAACATGCAGCGCCTGACCTCTCCTCGTTGATGCAGTTTGACTTACGGGAGCAAAGTGAGCAAAGAGTGGCAGGGGGGGTTGTGCTGTTCCGCCTCTGCATGCATTGCCTCTCTAACAAACACATCATCCTTATAATTTCTCAACTACAGTGCAGGCGATTTGGAGGGATATCGTTCGAGAAGCTGGGGGAGTAAGGCGAATAGCGGCTAATAAATTCTTCTTCCCCTTTTGTTAAATCCAACAAAAGAGCTTACCACCTATGGCCCAAGTCGGAGAACTGAAAGGCACTGCCACATCTGGCGGTGAGACTATCTAGGGTTTAGGGTTTAGTTTTGAAGGCTTGTGGTTGTGAATCTTCATTTTTGAGTTTCAGGTGGAGCACTACAGTGGAGCATTCACTGGCCAGAAGCCAAATTGCCTTGTAAGGATACTGCTGCTTCTGCCTATGTGCGTATACATAAATGAATATATTTATGCATGCACTATTGTCTGCATGGGCTCTCAGCCGCAGCTGAGATTCAGGAAGGACTGCAAGTGCTGGCCGAAGAGCTGCAGGAGCAGCTGCCCTCAATTTCAACTTCAGTGCGCATTGGAATGTTTCCTGTTTCCCTTGCTGTAGTTGGTGGCACTCTGTACACCATGTACAGAATCAACAGGTCGCGGCTTTGATTGCGCGCTCGACAGCTGCGCTGCTGGCAAGCGCATCCTTTAACTTAAAAACTCTTTTCTAATGATGGAATTGTGTAAGTGGGCAAGTCTGTGGGGGGCATTTGATAGCAAAAAGGACCTAAACAAGCACACTCCTTTGAGGTCGGATGGGCAAACTTCAACCAACGCAATGCAAGAGTCGCTCTTGCGCTCTTGCGCTGCGCCCACACGCTCTGCTGTTGCTGTGGTTGCTGCCGCTGCTGCCTGCCCTTTTGCTTCGTGCCCCTGTTGGGCAGCGCATTATGAGGAGGCGTTTTTTTTTTCTATCCGCTGCTGCAGGCGGACCACCGTGAGCAGCAGTGTGTCCGTCTTGGTTGCGCTGGAGTCAACTGAAACCCCAGCCTGTTTGATACGTGAGGATACAAAGGTTTGCCCCATGCGCCGCAGCAAGGGGAGAAGGCTTGATTGGCTCGCGCCTCAGAACACATGGACCATACTCAGGGAAGAGCCGCAGGCCACCACAACCTCGTCATCTGCGTATGCTGCAAGGCAGAGGGGGTCGTCCGTTTCGAATGAGAGCGGGAGATTCGGGTGAATGCCGAACTGGCCAACGCTGACCACCGCCCCAGAAGCCACCTGCAGCAGCAGCGCCTCCCCGCCTGCGGGAACAACAAAACCCGCTACGGCCCTGACATGTTATATAGTATTTTGTCTAAGTGCATATATGCATTTTGTGTACATGGAGGGCGAGAAAGCCATAATGGCTATGGACGGGCTGCACCAAACTGGGGAGGGGAAGCCAATGTTCTTGGTTTCATGGCTGTTGTTTTTGTTGTGGTAATAGCGGTGGTACTGGTTATTTGTTGTTAAGTTCACAGCAACGCTTTAATTGTCTTATTCATTTATTCTATGTATTCACCTTCCGTCACTACTACTGCAGTGTCTTCTCTCAAAGCGCAAATTGCAGCTACTGACATCCGCCTTAAAGGGCAGGAATTGCACACTCCGCCTGCCTCCCGCACATTAATCCGGCGAGTTGCCTGCATGCAAGGCAACTAGCAGCAGGGCCGGTGTTGCAGCAGAGGCACCTCGAGGTGTGAGAGAGATGAGAACCTTCAAGCCAATAGAACAATGCAAACACGCACGCAGACGCACCTGCTGCGCCTCGCAGTCCACCAGGTAGACGAGAATGCCCCGGGCAATCACTAAAGTGCTGCTGCCTGAGAAAGAGGCACGGGAAACCGCCAGCTGGTGCGAGCAAGACGGTTCAGTAACTCCTGCCTCTGGGCCAAAGCGCACTCCAAAGCTGAACGCACAGTCAAACCCAAACAAAATGAGAGGTCCTCCAAAGCCAGCATAATCGAAAATCAGTCACACCCACATTCCCACTGTCAGAACAGTGTCAACACAGTATAAACAAATAGTACGTTCTGATCAGCTCCCCATACACGGTAAGAGCAGCTGGAATAAAGAGCCAATTACCGTGCGTTTAAACCAAAGAACTCGCTGGGAAAAGTCCGCTTTTTTTAACGGCAGCTGCTCCCCTACTACTATACAGGTCTCTTAGGGGCTCCCCTTTTCAGCTTAGAGGGTCTCCACAGAAAGCCTACTGGTGCATATCGTGGAATATATCAACCGACGGGAGGGTGCAGGGAAGTAGGAGGTGCTGCGGGAAGACTTGCCATGACTTAGAACAGAGCATCCATTTGTTCTCAGGAGGAGTCCTTGCGTACGCGCCAACTGAGCAATAGCCGCCCGAAAGACACAGCGCAAAACGGACTCTGCTGTCCGCCCCTGGAGGCCACGCTGCCTGCCGCTGCCCCACGAGGCACTCCACAACCGTGACGATCTTCACAGAGGCGGAAGCGTTGGGAGCAACGCAGCTGCAGCTGTTACCCCCTGTGCTGCAGCTACTGCCCCGAGGAGTAGTAGGCGGCAGCTGCAGCATGAAGGTGGGCCCAAAGCAAGCCGTGAGGGCATTGGCTATTTTAGAGACACTTGCGTGCTTTATTTGGGGAGTTGGGAAAGCAGGCGGGTCGGCCTTGTCCTTGAATTTTAAATCAAGGACGAGAGACAGGAGCTCGCCTGAGGCCGTCGCCAGCAGTGCATGGCGATCTGCAGCAGTACAGCGCCCAAAACAGCTCTTCATTGTTTACGAGTCGCTTGGTTATTTCGTCTTATTAGAGAGGTAGTTAATTAGTTGTTCAGGTGTATAGGTGCTAATAGCATTATAGGCAGGTAGCCTAATTCTGCACCCTCCCAAATTACAGGCCAACCAAGAGTGTTCCATGATGTTATTTGGTAGTAGTGTGCGTGCATATGTGCTTATGCAACTGATTGCCCCCATTTCTCGGCTTGTGGAGCCTCTTGGTCCCTGTTGATGCGTTTGTTTGTTTGCAATTCTGACCCCGAACCCGAGACAAACGGCCCCTATTGCTCCCTCACCGCCAAGGCACGCAATAGCCACAGGTGGGTCTTGGGTCGTTGCAAGCTGAAGGCGACCGACGAGGCGAAAGGCGTTTGTGTCAAAGATCCTTAGGGATCCGTCTTTGAAGCAGCCCAAGAGAAGCGAGCGCCAGAGGAAAGCGAGTGCTGTGCACGGGTGCGGCAGCGAAAAGTCTGCCAGCTGCTGCGGCAGAGGCCACCGACTCCACAGCCGTAGGGAACCCCCAGAATCTGCCGTAGCGATCAGAGGAGGATCTCCTTCACTGCTAGCCTCTGTTCCTCTCAACAAATGGTGCAATCGGCTGCTCCTTCCGCCCCCATTGCCGGTCGCCGCCGCCTGACGGCCAATGCACAAATTGTTGCTCCTCAAGCATTATCTGATGAAGTGCCTTTGATCCACCTGGCATCCCGCAGCCGCTTACTTTTCTTCTGATTAAAAACATACAGCTCGCCTACTGAAGAAGCGGGAGCATTTTATGTGAACAGGTGGGGGTGTATTTCGGCCGTTGAAAGGAATAACTGCCTTAAGCTTTGACCACAGAGCTGCAGTTCTTCCGACATACCTGATGATGAGAAATGGCCAAATGAGTGATGGGACGACTGTGGCTCGAATGGAGGCGCACTTGCGCCCGCTGGTCCCAGTGAAGGTACCTGCAAATCGAGCGACGAGCTTCTGTCTTTTTGTTTTTCTCAGTACATTGTTTGCGCAATAGCATGAGACGGACCTCATTAGTGTTAAGGGTTTAGGCCATGCACTGAGACTATGGGTAAGGGCTTAGGGCGGAGAGCTTGGCCCATGCTTCCTATCCTGGGGTACTCGCTCTCGCCAGGCACCTGCTGACCCACCAAATGGTATTTGCTGCAGTCGTGGCGATTCCCTGAGTAGACAGCCGGACGCCTGAGAGCTCCTGGGCTTAACTTAGGGGATAAGAATTTGACGGCGGATCGTTGGTCTAAGTCCAACTGCCCTAAACTCCATACCCGCTAACGCCTCCGCCTACAACCCTCAGAACCTAAACCTGATTGAAGGGGGCTTACAAACCTCTTGGGACTCCCCGTCGAGTTGTAAACTCTTTATGGGAGCGTCTAAAGCTAAGGGCGGCAAAGCGGCCTGTTGCCGTAGGTCCACTGACTGCGGGCCAAGTCCCTGTTGCCTGCAGCAAGCGGCGCACCTCCGGTATTTGTTGATAAAATGCGATGGAGGGGTTCTTACCCCTAAACCGCGTACGACGGGACCTCCAGTGGCCCACGTAAGTTGCAAGGGAACTGAGAAACAATCTGAAATACAGCCTGGTAACTGGGGAGCTTCTGTAAAAAAAGCAAAGCTCTACTTGGGAGCGCCAACGCACATCTCCAACAGTCGAATCAAATCCACCGTTGCTCGCCGAGTCAATGACCCTGTGCTGTAGGCCAAATACATCGCTTTACCGCACGTTATGGAGCCTGGAAACATGCAATACCAATAGGAACGCCATGGCAATCAGAGATTTCATTAGCAGCGCAAATGCAGGTGGCAGCAGTAGGACGGAGGCAACATTTGCGCCAATTAGTATACAAATACCGAATAGAGCTAAAATACGCACACCAGTATTAATGGAAAGGCCAGAGTTGACTCAATCGCTGTGCACCTGTATTTATCTACAGCAGCCACAGGCCGCGAGCAGTTGTGTGCAGGAGGGACAGCTTCAGTAAGAGATGCCTCATTCACAGTCGCTGCAGCGTTTTATTGGTTTAAATGACACCAGCAGGAGCATTTCTAAGCAGTGTGGAGTCATTTATTTTCCTTGAATCAAATTGCAGTGTTAATGTACTGATAAGGAAGTCGCCAAGGAAGAGCTCGAAGATGAATACATTGGCTTCGAAATTGAAGGCATACACCCAGCCCTGCAGCCAGCCCAAGCAGCAGACGGGGACGCTCTCCTCATGGTTGAGGTTCTGTTTTAAATAGGACCGAACAGCAACGCGGGCAGTGTGGAAATGAAGATTATCTTCGCCAAGCGTTGCCGGGTTTAAAATAAAACGCTTTTGACGGACGCGGTCAGAGGCCACCAGTAGAAGGCGTGGGCTCCCCTTAGCTCGACGCGTGAGGCAGGCAGTGGTGTAATTCTCCAGAGGATCTGCTAACAACCGTTTAGGCTGCTTGGCGTGCTGGAACTGAAGTTGCAGGCCCTCTGCTCCAAACGCGCCGCCTGTTAGGGAGAAACGAAAATGACCGGACAAAGACAAAAGTGCGCGAGCAAACCCCGCCCCTATCAAGCGCTGTCACCTCTCAAGGAGGAGGCCCCCCATCCTTTGGACGCCGCTAGCTTACGGGCGCCGCCATATACTGACTCAGAAGCGGATTAGCAACAGCGTGGTCGGCCTACTGCTGCTGGTGTCTGAAAATCTGCAATCAAGGGGGATGATCCTCCAAAACGTAACCGAGCGGAGGCTGACAAAGACCATTTCTCTTTCATCGTTCAAAGCAGCGCTCAACAGTTTGCGCAGCGGAGTACCCACTTCTGCTCCCACTGCAGGGTTTGAGGACTGCAATAGACGGCCGAACACCGAGGACATGCTTTTAACTGAGCAGTCGTTGCTGCACCAGCTACCGCTGCACTTACACCGGCAATAATTGCCAGTGACCACAGGGCTTCCCCTCTGGCCTGCCTCAACAGCGGCTTCGTCATTCCTTTGAGAGCTTCCGAAATACCTGGATGGCGGCAGAAAGTCTGAGACCCTCCACACATCTAGCCGACCACCGTCCGTCCCCCCTGTGAGGCCAACGCAAACAGTTCAACTTGCCTCCCATTCAAACCAGGATCGCTATGCAGTAGTAGAGTATGCAGTTGAGGCAGCATAGCTGACATTGGAAAACTAAAGCAACTACCGGCTTAATCTCAAAGTCGTTGTGAAGACGGACCCGCAGTGACCACCAGATCGGAGCCGCAGAACAAGATGCCTGGCAAGTTTTCTGCATCGCGGTCTGGGAAGCCAGAGGTTGCACTCTGCCTGTTCATACGGATGCTGTCAGCCTCCCCATATGCACGTGCCAGACGCGCAGCCCCCAGAAGCTCTCCACCTCCTTCCGCCTTCCACAGGCACAAGCCCAAGAAACTGGTTATAAGGCCCCGACACTCAGCAGCGGCATCAGCAGCCCTGCTGCCACAGCATGCGCTGCAGCCGTGCCTGCAGCCACCGCTGCCGAGGGAGCGTCCACAAGAAGCGGTGGGGTCTGGAACTCTCAGGACTGCAGCAGAAGCAAAGACGCTTACAAGTAGCAAGGCAACATGTGATGAATGCAACGATGGTGCCGTTCAAGACACATCAAAGGCAACGAATGATGATAATGGATTTCTTACTGCTAATGGTGGCTGCAAGTCGTGTGGTGGCATCGATAGCGAAGGCAATCGCTGGTCCAACGACGGGGTGTCTTAGGACGGAAATTCGGGGTGCCTGGGCCACTGCTGCGCATTGCTGCAGCAACAGCGAGCCTCTCTGTTGCCAGTGGAGCGCTGAAGACTTTTTCTTGGGGGAGTCTGCTGGTACTTGCTGCTGCTGCACACGCAGCTGCGCAGATCGACCAAACAGGGCTGGAAGCAAACCCAAACACTTCCCTTCTTGACAGGCAGCAGGGGTAGACAGCCTTTCTATCAGCACCCAGCTCCCAACCGCATGGGCCAAAACTCCTGAAACAGCAACAAAGCATACTTGTCAAGACGCCATTAAGGTGCTCGCAAATCAGTGAGAAAACCTCCAGAGCGCACCCCGGCATTCAACACCGCACACTGAAAGGAAAACGCCTGTTTCTGTTGCTGGGGCAGTTAATTGGAACCAATTTGACTTTAAACTGTTCAGGGTTTAGCGAGGAAACGGAGTAACCTCCTTGAACTTTTGCGTCGAGGGGCTCCCCACCCTTCAACGGCCTCCATAGACAGCTGCTGCGACAACTGGCCACTGCAGTACCAATTACGTGACGAGCTGCAGCGCCTCCTGCTCTGGGAACCCAATGAGCATTCGACTCATGCGGCCTCTGTGACACCGGTAGCTGCTGCCCAGCGTGTATACTGGCCTCAAGTGGGGTGGACGTCCCCACAACTCCCGGAAATACTTTCACGTCGGACACATGACCTGTTTCCGTAGAAACTTCCCCTTCAGCTTCAGACTTTTCGCCTTGCATCCGAACGACATCCGCGTTGCTCGTGTTATCAACAACTGCCGCTGAATTAGCTTCATAGCTGTCTTCCTGTACGGGACAATCCGGAACGGTTGGCCCCCCAAAATTTATCCTCTGCGCTGCCGCTGCTGCAGTGCCCTGAGTTTCGTCGAATGCAGCTGAAGAGGAGGCAGTCTCAGCAGCACGGACGTTGGCAGCAGCCGCCGCAAAGGGGGTACAGAACGGGGGAGCGTGGCTTGGATTGGATTTTTCTGGGCCACAAACTGAAGAAAACTGTGGCAAAGAGGCCTCGTTTGAGGAGCAGAAAAGGGCCTTCAGGCCGACAGTGTTCTGTACTGATTGTAGCGGATTTAGCAGGGGCTGCTTTAGAGGTTGAGGGTGCGCCGTTGGCGGCTGTTGTGGCTGCGGCAGCTTTACGTGCTCGCAGTTCGTCTGCCGTTGACTTTCCTGTTGCTGCTGTAGGGAATGAAGATCACCTGGAAAGGGATCTGCGGATCGTGAGCCCTCCTGCATCGGCGGCAGCAGTGCAATGCTCCTGGCGGGTGCTATCTCTGATGCAGTGTTAAGAAGAGGGGATTCGACCCTCCACGTAATTGTTTCTGTGGAGCTAACAGACACCAAATAGTCTCCCAACAGGTGCACCAAGAAGGGAGGCCTGTTGTGGCCTGCAAAGGACTGAAAGTGTGGGAACTCAGTGAGCCCTGTCGCCGTATAGACATTTGTGCTTTTATGCGCAGCTGATCCGCTGCAATCTCCGTGGCTTGCATTTGCTTCTGAAGCGCATGCTAAATCATCTGCCTCTCTCGACTCATTGCCGCCCTGCAAGGTGCTTCCTTCGTTGTCCTGGGTAGCGCTGAGTTTTGCTAAGTTCCACACCTGTACGAAGAGCAGGAGACACTCCTTCGGCATCGGCAATATACATTTGTCATCTGGTTTGCATAACTGGAAGGGAGCCAATGGCCTCGGGTCGAAGCCAACTCAGATGGTAGTGAATGGCTCAGGATAAGCGATAGGTTTCCCAACTCTGATTGCTGAATCTGAGTCATGCACCTTAATGAGGGCATCTTCACCGCACGTAATGCCGACGGGTGGAATGCTGCTTTCCTCCACACCCGCCGAGGAGATCCATGCGACGCTAATGGGCCCACTAAGAAGGGCTATTTCTCGGCTTTGGCGGACGCTTGTGGTGCCTGACTGCACGCGCAGTGCATCCTCTGCAAAAACCGTTTCCTTCGGCCCTCGCTTTCGTGATTCTTTCAACAAAGGAGTGTTGCATATGCACGGACGGCCTTATTCTGCGCCTTCACAGCCCACTACGTTCCGCGGCTAGAACACAGACTGCAATGACAAGACTTGGGACGAATCATGATCAGAGGGCAGTGGTGTGAAGGGGTCTCACATCCTTCGTAAAGGAGAATACACGCATTCTAGAGTCATTGCCACAGACGCACAGGGCATCCCCCGAAGCCGAAAAGGAAAAAGTAGTGATCGCAAGCGATTTGCACGCTGTTGGGAAGGGGCAGAACTCTGCCTCGAAGTTGAACTCTGGGAGGCGAAGGAGGCCTAGGGTTTGGGGCGAAAAGTAACGAACAGCTTTAGATCCATCGCCAGAAAATACAAGAGATGGAACTCCTTCTGGAGCCCCTTCAATCTGGGGGTTCTCCAGCTTCCGAATAAGTGCAAATTCGTGAAGTTGAGAAAAGATGCAAACACCTGAGCAACAGGCAATCGAATTTACTTCCTTGTTTACTGCTTATTTTCACCTGCCAGCGTGCCTCAGACACAGTCTCTTCTTCAATATTAAAAAATCACCGAAGGCCCTGCGCTGAGTTGCGAAACCAGTTGGATTAGCTCATTTCAAGTTTGTGCAAACGCGCATTGCCAGCTTACAACCAGATGCATCAAGGGATATCACCAAAAACCCTTGCTCGGCAACTTCAGTTGTCGCTTTCAGAAGGTCCCTGCGGCCAGCACTACCCTCCTTGTTATGGGACTCATGAGGGGAAGCATAACGAGAGCAAGATTCCGCTGCATCCTTGTCGACCTCCGGGGAGGAGACAAACCAAATGCCTGTAATGGGATGGGTGTGGTGGTTCGCCTCCATCCAAACGGCAGGGCCCTCAACCGCCAACACCCGCACTGCACCGCTTTTAAACCCTAAGGCTAGCACTCTCTGGGTTGGGTGAGAGGCCACACAGACGGGGGGATCCTGTGGGCTTTCCATCTCGAATGTCTGCATGAGTTTGGGAGAGACCGCAGTAATAGCACAGGGCACAACACTACGACAACGAGCTTATGATATATTTTCATTCTCTTCTAGGCTAGTTAGAGCCCTTAGTATATGCACTGTTGGGGCGTCAAGACGAGTGAGTGATTCAGGTCTGTAAGAAAAGTTAAAATGTTCACCTGACACAACTGAGGAAGTGTCCACACTCGTACGAGACCGTCTTCACACACTGTATATAGCTCTCTCAAAGCCACTGGAAATGTGACACATCAGTGCAGAAAGGGATAAGTATGCGGCTCGAAGGGGTGGAACAATCGACAAAAAAGTGTCGAAATAGAACAGAAAAAAATGCGGCCAACTCAGGTAAGCACGAAACGTCGTGGCAACGGGAAGCCGATGCATGGCCCTGTGCTGTGGACGAAAAAATAACATACCGCTAGTTGACGCATGCAATACTCGAGCAGGGTGGGCTCTGCTAACTTGTAGGTGTTGTTGTGTTGCCAGATTCAGTAGCTCCACAGCGCTATCGCCGCACGTGCAAAGTATCTGTTGGCCATCGGGGTTTGTCTCAACCCCCACACATTCCGAACTGTGAGAAGCGGAGAAGTAGGCGGCCATGAAATTCAAAGGCCACACCCTTGGACAAAAAAGCACAGGTGGAGGCGGTACTCGATTTGACCGACTTTTCGGTGGAACATATTGTTTGAGCCAATTGATAAAGAGGGTCGTCGCGCGATATTGCAGGGAATGACTTCCTTTGTTTCTTTTAAACAGGCAAACTCAGAAATACAGATGGGGCGCTTTTCCTCACTTTACCGTCTTGTCGGCGGATGCCGTCACACAAAATCCAGGGCCTGTGGAGAGCGCCCAAATAGGGCTCTGATGCAACGTGAAGACACGCCTTACAGCACGTGTGAAGTAGTCCATCTGCAAAAAAGCAGACTGATCAGGCACCTTGGCAGTTCCCTTCCCAAGTGGCTAGATATCCATCGGATATTTTAGATAACTAAAACTTGACACGAACTCCTTCGGGTTCTCCGGCAGATAGCACACCTCAAGTAGACTTCCGCAAGTCGACGAGACCAACAGCTTTGCCAACGAAGTCAAGCCGCCTTCTGGTAGTTCACAGTACTCCACACAACACCCCGTGTGGAAAACCTAAGTTACTGCATTGCAGCCACGTGCTGGGCTTCTAAGTGGCTCATACTCCCCATTAAGCTGTTTTGTTCTGCAGATCAAACACGTTGGTCTTTGCACCTATCAACACGTCTGAAGATGGCGTTGGGAGGGCCAAGTAGGGCACCCGCTGACGGCATGTATATAGTGTGGTGAACCACTCACTTGGGTTGGACCTCATGGCTTGATCTGGCAATACAAAGGCTAGGTCTGTGAAGAGGTTTCCCCTCCCAAGACCATCCAGAGTAACGTTGCACCCAGGCAAGTGCCCATTCTGCAGTATGTGCCAGCATAAGCTCTGCATACGTGTTAAGAGTCCCCGCATATTCTAGTTGCGCGTGCTGGCGCAATAGAGTGGTTCCTAAGACCCCCCTATCGAGAGTTTCATGAGGCTTGCAGCGTGGGTCGGAAGCTTGCACATTTGTACGCCACATCATCCAAGCACACAAGAGAAACTGAAATCATCGGTGAATGTATCGCTAACGGCTGTCCCTTTCCTCTTCGCTGTTAGCAGAGGTCGGCTTGTACTGAAGGCATCATGTTCCACTAGCAATACCAGTAGTGCTCTACAGACCCTTCTAGCAAGTTCGTGTTCGCTGAGATGCCTATTGTTACCTTGATGCGCCAAAACCGAATGTTTTCCTTTCCACAGCTTACAAGGCGTAGCTCCTCAAAAGGCGAAATGCGTAATGCCTCAATCTGTTTATACCATACTGGCACCCATGGAGTTTTCCCATGAGAAGTGGAGGAAAAATGGAAGACACGCTTTGGCTCAGTGAATGCTCAAGGAGACGAGCTATGAGGAACTGTATGGAGCGTAAATGGTAGTCACCTGAAAATCTGAAACTTGACGGGCAAGGAGATTGGGGCGCCCAGTAGTAAGCAACCCATGAAGTTCCCAAACTTGGAGCTGCTGACGGTTAAGGCGGTCTGAACCAACAAGCTGAGTGGTTAAGCACAAACTGGTTTCGCATTGTAGAGGATTGTATTAAGCATTTTGCAGACCACTGTGTGAAATTGAGGCAGGCTAGCAATAGTAGAAAACGGGATTGCTACAAAACGACGTAAGTTAATTACCACCATATATCTTCCCCTGGGGTCTAGACGCAATAAAGATATTCGTTCTAGAGTTGCCGACTGAATGATCTGCAAGGGCAGCAAACAGTTAGCCCTGAATCCGCTAGAGGACAACCGTAAAGTATAATCTACAGCAAGAAGGCCTTTTAGAAACATTCTAGACTCAAATATGAAACATTTGCGCTGGAAGTTTTGCAGTGGAAGATTTGTCATCTGCATGCGCACACTTTGGTTGAGCAGGTGAGTTCATGCGTTTTTGGTGAGAATTGCTTTCAGATCTGCCTGTACTGCGAGTTTTCAAAGGCCCACTACCAATGTATTTTGCCATGCAAACAACCAACCACTTTGACAACGACAATAATTTGGCACATGAAAAGGCTTTGTGAAGAATGGGCGGCAAAGAGACAATGCAAAAGGTGGCGTAGAAAACACCACCAAAAGCCATCTTGGAACAACGAATGCTGCAGGATGTAGACAACTTGAAGGGGGCTTAAATCGAGAATGCACCTACTTGTTTCCACTGTTGAAAAGCTCGTGCAAGGAACCTCATCTAGACAGTATTTCCGCTTACCGCTGTGCACCGGACATCTTCACTATCAGATTCAACAGGCGGGAGCTTCCACATCCTGCAGACGATTAAGATACCCACATAGGAACCGATTTTTCGTCTGTCCTAGCCTAACCATTACCTAGGTAATGCAATTCTCAGGACTACCACGGGCGGTTTTGCACCACAGTGAAACCTAAAAACGGATAGTTGAAGCCTGAGTAGCGGCATATTCATTTGGAATGAGGGTTTCCAACAAGTGAAATCCAGCTGTTTCAATCCCGGTTTTGCTGAGTTGCACACCGTATGGATGGCTGCTGAGACGTATTTTCCACCGTTGCTGCTAACCGGGCCGCCAGGGCCACCTCAAGGAATTCGATTACTCCGCTGTGGCCCAAGAGGCACCGTGACGTGTCTGCGACCCTCACAAGAGTTCGCACTACCCAGAAAAACTTCATACTTTTTGGCACAAATCTCCAGCACATTTACATGCACAGCAACTGGCTTGGACTTTCGTCTGGTGGTATTGGAAAACGGATTGGAATGACCGGAAGTCACCGACTTTTCCGTAGGTTTCTGTGAAGTAGAATCGATGAATGGCAGCTAACGATCCTCGAGTCGCCTACCCACATTGCTCCACATTTCCGAAGCTGCGCAGGCCGGCAAAGGCCGCTGATCTGTTCAGCCTGGAAAGCATCGCGCGTGAATACGAGTGAGACATATCATGGAGACAGGCACAGCAACAGTAAAGATATGCGGCAACAGCCGCATTCTGTTTTAAATGTACTCCACCGTGCTTTGTAGCACATCTATCCATAACATAGACGAATTCGCAGCTGAACGTTGCCTGGGAAGGCCGAATGCAATTACAGCCGAACAAAAAAGTATTTACCTGCAGTGCTGTTCTAAATCCATGTGCATCTTCGGCTGGCCGCCTTCCATCAGAAAGTAAGTGACCGTACCCTGATTCGCTAGGATACCCATCTGAATTTTTCCCCTTATCCTGTTCACTGCGGCCCCAAAATGCTTCGGTTAAAGCTGTGGCTGGAGCCACAGTGCCCCCCAACCGGTCGGCATCTGACAGGTACAGAGGTCATAGCGAGCATTGCAAGCTTTGTGTTGAATTAGGCTAAACATAGTGTTGTTTCAAGCACTGAACAGAATGCGTGTGGCTACGCTATTTAGAACGCATGAGCTGCCAAAAGGAAACGCGCTAGTCAGATACCCGCCAGAGGTTCCGGCGTGCTGCGGTCCGTGCTGCTGCAGCTGATTTGATTGCACTCAGAAGAACGGCATCCAATGGGTATGTACACCCAAGGAAGCAGCTCTTGCGGTATCAGCCCAGAAGCCTCTTTCAGGCGAAGAGGCTTCGGAATGTCCTGTCGTGAGCACCGTAGCAGAAGCAGTGCAAGATCCTTTAGGTTCCTTACCCGACATCACGAAGGAAACAAGAATCACCACGACACGGGTGCGATCTTATTGCTCATGCATTGCAGTTGGCATGAGTGCTCATCTCAATGTCTACTGAGGAAGCCAGGGCTGCTTATGGCTCACGTGTGCGGTGTACAGATGGTCTGAAGTGAACAAACCGCGAAGATAAAGGCAGGAGCATAGTTGAACAGACACGAGGGTGTTCCCTGTGGGGGGCAGTTTCGTGAACTGCCCTACGATGCTCGGCAGGTGTATACAAAGCTGAACCCAACAAGAGGGGGGCAAGAGTGGGTATTGTATCACCCGACCTCGCACCTGTACGTCGCAGGAAAACGGCAATAATCATTTAAGACTTCAGAAGCACGCATCGCCGCCTACTCTGAAAGGACCTGACAAGAGAAGAGCTCCGCAATTGCTATTCCTGCCGACGTGTCATAGCAGAAGGGGTAAAAGGCGGACTTTTGGTTCTTTGACGAGGTTTGTCAAACTGATGCGCAAAGGTGAGTTCTTGGAGGTTCTCAAGTCAAAATGCATGACAAAAAACCGGTTCGCCATTGGCTTGAATTGCACGTACACCTGACAATATCCGCAACGCACATATCACATACTACTGCACAGAAAGATGTAATCGCTAGAGGCAAAATAATGTATTTGACCCTGTCGAAGAAGAGGATTATTTGTGCAAGGCCCCCCCTCCCCCCCTCTTGATCTTGCAGCCTTCACTGGCATTTGATGGGGTGACGCAAATGGACGTACATAGTTTGCTCTAATTTCTAGCTTTTGCTGCCCATTTCTCGTGCTCGGAAAACAAACGAAGTTGTTTGCCGAGACAAGCCCGTAAATTCTCCATACTCTCCTTCCTATGGTGCGGTCCTGTCCACAAGGGTAATACAGACAAACACAGCCACAGATGCACGCGCCTCGAGGGCCTTGAAAGTCAGCTAATCTAGACATCCAGCAGCCATGAAAGGGGCCGGTATTAACTACGATTCAATTGTACGGTACAACAGCGGGCCGCACAACTTCCTCTGTAACCTCCCCGTGTTGGCTGCTCCTCGCAGGATCACCAATTGGGAACTCTTTGAGGAAGTTGACAAAAGTCGCGCCCTTTCCTTCTGCCCTTGCGCTCATTGACGGAACACCTTGTTACTGAACCTGTTTTATTGTCTTGGTCAAGAAGTACTGTGCGTTCCTTCATTCAGCAACAGGTACGGATTTGTGTCCCAGCTCCTGTTTGCACCGAGTCGACGGCAAGCGGGAAAGAGGGTCTGAAATATTTCAATCCCTGCCTAACATGCAGCGGAGTAGATCTTCCTTGTCTGCGGGATGGGGGGCTTCGACTGCAGCGAAAGTGCAGCCTCCCACGCAGCCACAGGGGTCTGCCGTCGGCTGCGGGAGGCAAGAGTAAAGCGCTTGTGGTAAAATAGCAGCAGCCAACAACCAGACAGCCTCCACCGTGATCATATCAACTAATGTGTGTTGCTTCAAGACACTTTTCCCTCAGAGCACCTACGGTACGATGGATGACGGCAATGCCGTCTTCGCGTGCCCAGACTGGCAAGAGGATAAGAAGCTGTTTCGGGAACTACGGGCCAAATTGCAAACAGTTCACAGTGCATAAAATTATATTAACCTTTTTATTTCTGGCTGAGAATCAAATAGCTGTCAAATCCGACGTTTCATGGGAAAATCGAACAAGTAGTTGGAGGCACGCACGAACAGCACCTGCTCGAGGGTGCCTTCTGTACTGGCGCGCCACGGGCATCTCACGACAGCCTCCATAACACAACGCACAATTTACTTTGCAGATAAACAATACAAGAAAGGGCCTTCCACGAAATGCCTTCAGCAATGCAGTGCCCGCAGTGGAGACGCTCAACTAGCAGCTTCCACATGCTGGGGGCCCAGCTGTCCAGCGGTCAAATCGAAGTCGGATACCTCTAAATGGCTTGAAATAACGACAATGCACGCAGTAATACACATATGAGTATCTATAAGGACAGTCTGAAGTATGCAAACGGCCAAAAATAACTCATTAGCCTCAAGCTTCGTGACGCTACCGCGCAACGAAGTACTGGAGGCGCATAGTTCCCTCGGCATGCGTACGCTGTTTTTCAGCAGCACTGCAACAGTATAACAACCGAATAACTAGCTTTTCTTCGCTCGGCCACTGCTGATCTTCCCAAGCAGCCAAGGAATATGCTGCACAACAACATTACCCAGCATTTCTGTGGGGGCAAAAAAAGCCTGCCATTTGGCTGAACGTGTTGATGGTGTGCAGTGAGGACTTGCCCAAAAATGGGTCACACTCCGAATGCACACGACACTGGAAGCACCCTTGGTTTTGTCTATGAACTAGCCCTGCAGAACACGGCACTGGTCGGGGTTGAGGCACCAAAGGACCAAGGAATAGTCTGCAGGCAAGCGAAACTGCTGCTTCAGTTATCTTCTTCAAGCTCTGCGAGATGCTGCAGCTCCGGCGGCAGCAATTCAAGGTCTTCCTCTCTACTGGGGGCTGGAGGCGTGTCAACTACGGGGTATGCACCCTCTGCGCGCGCGGTCGTTTCATTCAGATCTCCTCTGACAGTAGCAGTCTCCGTTTCCAGCTCTGTCTTTGGTTCCATTGAAGTTTCTGCTTCGTATTTGTCCAAAGTAGGCACCATGAGGCGAATGGTGAAACGCGCGAGGAGGTGAGAGAGCCCGCTCATTGCCAACCCAACGCGCTGATAACAGAGTTCAAAGATGGGAACCACCGTCAGGCAGAAACCCTTTGGAATGCGGAAAGAACAACGATGAGGTAGCTGCACCTGCAGGACAAGGAATGCCGTCAGCAGCAACAAACGCTGAACGTCTCTGCTGCATAACTGCGCATTCATTCAAAGACATGACGCGCGCCAGAACCCACTTGTGCAAATTTCCTCTGCTCTGCCTAGTCCAAACGTGTTCACTACACTGCGTACCTGGTATACACGAACTCTTTCCTTTGGCCGAGTGACGTGAGGAGGTAGGTAAGGGACCAACTCATCGTCGAAGTCCCCTCGCCACCACTCACCTAGAAACTCGCCAACTTCCAGGTCAGGACCGTCGTTTGAGAGTTGCTGCGCTACCCACTTGCGCTTGGAGCTTTGCTCTGTCTTGATCAAGCACTTTGTGAGTTTGCTGTGCAAAACTTCCCTTGGCTTCTGCCAAGTTTTGTACTTGAACATAAGCAAGCTGTGCTTCTGCTGCTGCTGATCTAGCAGCAACAGCACATGCGGGTACTCTGCCCGGTGCACCAAAAAAATGGCAGCTACTGACCTTCGTGTTCCTTCCCGTAAGTAAGACTCTTGTCGTTTCTTGAGGAGCTCCTCTTCCGAGCACGAACCCCACTTGTTTCCCAGTGTGTTATCGGCCTCAAAGGAATAGTTGGACTCGGGAAACACGGCCCACTCTGGCTCCACGTCCCTTGGCGCCCCAGCTGTCTTACTGATGGCCTTCGGGGTCCCCTGCTTCTGCTCTGTGTGGACAAATGTCTCTGCAGAGGCACTCGATAGCTCCCTCTCACAGTCGCCATCGCGCTGGGACTCTGCGGTAGCCGAAAACACTTCTTGGGAACAGTCCATAGACGCGTTCAACGCCGGTCCTCCTCCATCCTCCCCGCCTGCCACTTGCATTTTCAGGCTTCCTCTTCTACACCATATATGTCCGCGAAAACAGAAGAAAAGGGTGAGATTTGCTCGGGGGTGGCGCAACACCAGACTTACAGGCAGCTGCCCAAGTATGCCCTAATGGCACTGACCACAGGAAAGGCGGTCGCAGAGGTCATCGTTTGCTAAGAGAACATCACTTCAACGTGAAACAAAGATACAATACGACGTGGAGTGACGCCTTTGCCACTCCTTGTCAACGTGTCGATTTGACGTTCGGCGCCGCGCAGTCAGCGGCCCATATTCACTCGTCACGCAGAGAAATCGCCAGCTTTTCGGCTATATAAACACATTAATACAATTTTAGCAATGGCAACTTGTTGAAAGCTGCTGCGTCATTAGAAGCTCGGTCGTCCAACCAGTAGAAGCTGCCGACGACAAATGCATGCACTGTCGCCAACAACATGGAAAAGCATGAAGAGCGACTAATGCAATTGATTTCTCTTGTTGGCTGTGAATTTTGTCGTGCATTATTTCTCTTTAGGTTTGGAGGCGAGGGAGACTGGAACCCATTCTCCTCATGCCGCCCTTGCATCCCGTTGGCATTCGTTGAGGCATCATTAATGCACTTCATGGAAACAGTATGCGGCATTTGTTAAATATAGCCTGTGGATGGCCGAGGGTAGCCACGATCACTCCGCTTCCATTTTCAGAAATGGCTGGGTTGGTCCTTGCCTTTCGAGACTCACTACAAAGGGCGGTATTCCGACAGTCACAGAGCACTGCTTCCCTGAGTAAGTCCCCTACTTTTGCATCTACAAAGCGGTGGGAGCTTCCTAGGGCTTTTGACAGTACCGTTGAGGGGACCATTGAATGCTTGGCTGGCCATGCCGCTGCACTCGCTCGAGAGAACCCAGCGGCTCTGGCGCAGTTGACTGCCTACTTGCACGTCGTCGAGACGGTTGACTCGCTTTACCGTAAGTACGGAGTGGGTGAGCAGCGGGACGGAGAAGAATCGATTCAAAGGGCAGCAAAGCTTGTCGGTCTCCGCCTGCCCAAAGTCTCGACAAGCAGGCCAGACGCAGCCTCAGGCAAGCGAGAATGCAGGCCTTCTACATACGTCTGTACTATGAAGTGAATGGGATTGCATCCCACGTTCTCGCGAATTTGATTAGATGTGCAAGTAACTGGTGCCTGTCGGCTGGCTTTTGTTCTCAGGGGGTTAGTGAGAAACGAACATCCTTCTGCGTTAATACGTAGAAGCAGACACCTTGATTGCTGGGAAGACCACAAGGCCGCTGACCGGCATTGAAAAAAAGTGTCCGCAGAAGGTATCCTGGTGCCTTTACTGGCACCTACCACGACCACAGCCACTGTTGAACCCAGCCAATCATGCTGTAGTCTGTCAAAAGCGGCGCCAGCGCCACGTCACAAAGTTTTGGCTTTCGTGCAGACGCTTCCCGTAAGCACTCTGAGGCAGCTTTCGGCCGCGAGTTCACGCACGTGCTGGCAGTCTATGGCTGGCCGTCCCCTACCGTGTTGCGAAAGCGCATGCATGTGCACATCTACACGCAACGAAGGAAAACGCATGCGTTTCAGGCGAAACCTTCTGAATTTGGGGACGTTCGAAGTCCTTCCTAGATAGATGTGCCTTATGCGTATCCCTCGCGTGCAGAGAAGGACCCTTTGATTTGAACCTCGTGGGACATTTTGTCTCGTCCTTTGAAACCCGTGCAGACGAAATACATCTCTCGTGACTCTTGGCGACAAGCCCTAAACAAACCACAAAGTGCAAAATCGACTCGTTGCTGGTTAGTCGCCGAGTAGCTGTCAGCGCCGTTCTTCGGGAGACGGTGGACTCCTTGTACGACGCCCAATATTTGCTTTTTTAGACGCTTCACACCATTTTGCTCCTTTTGGAGCTTTAATTCTTGAGCACACAAATGGCCTCACCGCGGCTTAGCGGACGCAACACGAGTGAATCTGCTCATAAGATATGTTTTGTAGTTTCCGGTTTCGCTCCCCATGAATATCTTGACAACGAAAGTCCCGCCGAGACACAATACCTGCACCGTTCAGAACAAAGCAACGGTGCGCGTTGCACTGCATGTAAATTCATATACTCCAGAGTGGACAGCCTACGCTGTTCTGGTAGTGGAGCTGATACCTGCTCCATTAGATCTGCGGCGTAGAGGCAGAGCTCCACAGAGCTGTAGTGGTCGTCGTGTCTAATGCCTGTACAAGCGGGCGCCATATCGCTCAACACAACATCTGCCTTTCGGTCTCCCAGCGCTTGCAGCACCGCATGCAGAGTCTTCGCATCGCCGACCCTCCCTTGAATGAAATGCACATTCGGGAGCTGCATACAACACGCGATTGTTGAAGGGCGATGGAATGAAGGCGGACGCAGATGACACAGAACCTTACGCAAAAACTTCGTCGCAGCTCCAGTGCAACTGTACTCCAGTTAATATCAGTCTCCCTATACTGCTTGTAAGCTTCTACTTACACATTACTCTTGCACAGCTATCCTAGGGCAACTTACAGGGTCCATTTTGGCAACATCAACCCCAATGACACGGGAAGTAGAGGGCGTCGAGGACCCGTCGTCTGGTTGATCAGTTGTTTCATGTCCTTCCACTAGACAGCGCTTCGCCGCCACCTGGCACCATCCTCCTGGGTAACAGCCCAAGTCAAGAACAACGCGGTCTCTCCTAAGAAAAAGATATTCATCGTCAAGCTGTTTTAGCTTAAACGCTGAACGACTTCGGTATTTACACTGCATCGCACAGAAACAAGCTCCAACCTCCCTAATGCTCTCATTTCGATTTCGCAGAGCAGAGGAAAGCTGGCGTTGTCCTACACGCGTACGGGTGGCCAGCGAGTGAACGCGCTCGGTCGCTAGACTTGCAAACTCTCAGAACATAAAGGATGGGTCATGCTGGGCACCGAATTCGTGGGATGCTCAATTGGGTACCTCTTGCGCCCTCTGGATGTAAGGATCTGTTATATGACGGCGTATCCACTCAGAGCTATGCTGAGAGCGATGGTTCCGTATAGCGGGGATTGTGGTAGCCAACAAGCGGACGGCAGTTGCATTCGGCAAAGTAATGAAGTTATTCCCGAGAGGCCGCGTGTGGTGGCAATGAAGAAGGTGAGATGCTGAGCTACGGATTATCGGGACCCTGGCTGGCAGCCGGCCCACTGCGCTGCAAATCATGCTGAAAACTCTGACAAATATATTCTTTTAACCTTCCACTAAGCACATAAAGCCGCGCTCCAGGAGAAGGCCTCATTAAGGGGAAGTGCTCGTTCACGGCGCGGTAGGTCACAGCCCGTTCGCCTCTGCATGGCTGCAAAGTAGTGAAGCTAAGTGTATCCAAAGGGGCCACATAAACCCAAGTAAAGATAAATGACTTCTTAAAAATACTTTTATTTGGACACTAGCCGTCCCCTTTCCCAGTGCTCCTGCCGATCCCCGCGGTGACCAGATTCCGTGAGCTCAGCCCCAGCTGATGTACCGCAAATCGAGAGCGCAAACTGCCCACCAACGTGTGGAGCATGTTACATTGTTCAGAGGCCATCTGTTTCCAGGAAGCCAATAATGGGGTATTACTGCGCAGGCAATGGTGGTGTACCGAATCTCTCCTGTATCTCCTCCCTACAATGCCAACGGCAGCCGATGGCTAGAGGCGTTGTCTTAAGGCACGTTGAAGCACCCGTCTTCTAGAAATTCCGTACCATAGCGTCCGTCTCCCACTAATATCCTTAGATGGATGCATTTGACTATACTTGGCCTACTCAATAGAGGAGCTACTCCCCCCTCACCTACACCAACCAGTCCTCCCAAGAGTCTAGTCTACAGCCAGTCACCACTGTAAGCTAGCTATCTTTGGACTACCATAAAAACCGCAGCTCCCCTATGCTGTATGGCAAACGGCCTTCAGCCATGTTAATGCCTTCAAGCGGCAGTATAACAGAATCGCATTCAGCAGTGCCCTGTAAGGACTCAGTACCAAATTCCATCAATTTCCAACCGAATACCAACCCTGCAACAGTTCAAGGATCGTTATTGTTGAAAAAGGCCTTTCAGACTGGCGTTTCAGCAAAATACCCCTCAGCAAAGCCCCTCAACTGACTACTGAACAGGCGATTACTTCGTGGACCGTTTCTTGCTCTTCTTGTTCTCTGTCTTTACCTCGTCCCTCTTCTGCCTCTCCTTAACTTGCAAGACTTGTTTTACGCACTTCTGCTCCTCAACAAGGAAGGCACGAAGAACCCTGCGAAGTGCAGAAGGTCATTTGAACACAGAATCAGAAGTACACGGCTGCGCCGCTGCTCCAAAGAAACAAAGAACCAAAAAATTGTAGTGGGACGGGTGCTATTAAACATTAAACCTTCTTTGCTGCTACAGTGAGGAAAAGGCAGACGCGCATAAGTGCAGAGGAGGGTGGACGTGACCCACTTTTCTCGCACGCAAGAGTGGCAGCGGGTGCCCCCGTAAGCGCGGTTGACAGTTCTCTCGCGCTTCTTCAAGAGTCTGAACTGGGGTGGACGACGGGCAGGGATCTGCAGACATAAAATTTCCAAGCAAGAAGTATTGGTGTCTACAACAGCGCTACACCATCTGCGGAAGGCGCACAAGCCCCCAAAACCATGACAGCAGAAACACAGGGGCACCTTCATTTCTTGAAGGCATGCTCTTCGGGCAGGGCAAAACAGAAAGAGAACATCACCCCACGAAACGCACACTTCCCTAAGCAACAGGTACACCTCACAGTTCTCTGAGAATGTTGTGAATCATTCTGTATGTTTCAAAAACGAAGTTGGCGACACTTAATTGAGGAAAAAAAATGCCGCTGCAGACCTGCAATCATGTGGGGTGTGATCCTTCGAGCTATGAAGAGAAGCTTAGCTGCACAACGCGTGTATATCCATGCAGTATTATCACGCAAAAATTGACTATCAGAAAGCAAGGAGGATATTACTCACCCCAGGAAGAAGCCTGCCGCATCCCCCACACTTCT